TGAAAACTGGATGGTTCTTGTATAAATACGCTTGACGCTAGGAAAGATTTAAAAACACACAGATAAAGATGATGAAAGACACATGCCTTTCCGTTTTTCTTGCATTGTCTCACATTTATCGCGTCCTAGCAGCGATAAAAAGAACATATCAATAGCGAAATCGACGATTTCTAACTTAAAAGATAAAGTTCAGAAATTAATTTCTGTTTGCTCGCCCACCCTACAAAACATTCGTTCTTCCTATCGGTCATTTTTTTTTCTCATACCCTTCGTCCTTCATTGTTGCATTTGTTTTGGAGTCCCTTTTTTTCTCAGACTACCCTCAATTTGCGTAATATGCAAAAAAAAAGTGAGAAGAAACGTCCCGCATTTGGTGCAAGAGGTGAAAGTTTTCTCTAGAAATTAAAGCCGAGATTGCACAATGTGGGCAAAACTAAAAAAAAAGCTTAAAGAAAAAAAAGTGAAAATGTTCGTACAAAAAGGGACACCAATAAAAAGGACCTTGCTTTTTTTCCTCACTCACTTTTCATTATGATTACTTTATGGGTAAGGAATGGAAGAATTGCGAAACGTCGGTCTGGACCTTTTTTTAAAGTTGATTTATCGCAGCAAAATATCGTAAAAAATGAGAAAACAGTCTAAAAATCTTTTTGTTAAAGTGATCAGTACTTTGCAATATACGATTATTCGGTAAGCACTAAAAATACTAACCATAAAAAACTTTAAATCCTATACAAATAAGATGTAAAAATATTCACAAAATTTCTATAGGAGTAAATAAAATCATTATCACTACTAATAATAACTTATTTATTACAACAATGATATACAAACATAAATAATTAATATATTTTAACAATATTCCTAAAATTATACAAAAATTCAAATGATTATAGACAAAAAAAATTGTTTCAAAATGTATTAACTAATCAAATAATTTATTTTTTTTAATTAAGTTTTAACAATTATAATTTAATAATTAACAAGGATTTTGTATTTTTTTACTTTACATACATAACGAAGAATTTATGCTGCTTCGAATAGTCCGGATTCACTATTGTCCAATTTTAATACTAAGAAACAAACTAAATTTTAATTGACAAAATAAAAATAATTAAATGTTTTCTGTATTGTTTATTTTTTTATAGTTTTAAAGTCTTCGATAAGATCTGTTAAAAACCGCACTATTCGAGGTTTTCTTTGCAGATTTTACGATTTAAATTGGATTTACTACACTTATAAACAATTAAAAAGTTTGTTGATATTTCAGAACAAAACATCGTTAAGTATTTGTGTGTTTTATACCGCAAACCCTACATTTTATCTTTCAGTTAGTGACCATTAATAATAGAAAACTTTCCGTAATGATGTTAAACACGGCTGCCGAAGTTTCGTCACACATGTCAATATTAATTTGATTAATTATGTTACCAAAACTATCAACGTATTAATATTCATCCAAAGATCGTCTTTTTAAACTAATTATTATATAATTACAGTTCATTAATTAATACTGAATAGATGTACAGTAATACTTCGCATAGTCCGGGTATTATGTTCTATTTGAAACCGGACTAATCGAGGAACTTTCAAAACGCACAAAAAAATTTAGTTTACTGTAGTGAATCCGGACTAATCGAAGCCGCATTGCTGTACTTGTTATTTTTCTTCTACTAAACTTACGTGTTTTATATCAACTAGAGCCTTGCATAACATTTCAATCACTTTCTCACACTTATAAGACTAGGAGATGCTTAAACTAAACAATCTATTTTTTACGCCCTAAATACATCCAAACATAATGCACAAGAAAGAGACGTAATCTAATACACTCAAAACGTGTTAGAAAGAGAGATTTGATCATAAACAAACATAGTTTTGTGCATTCCATCGCGTCCATAAATTAATCCTGCAGACGTAATTAGGCCAAAAATGTGCACGTTTTTTTTTTCTCCTTGCTCGTCTTCTCCACTATTAAATATAAAGTTTGTGTTAATTAACAATGTAAATAAACATAATCTAATAGTTTGTTTTAAACTGAATTATATGTTTATTGAAAGCAAACACAAACGTTGAATGTTTTCGTATAATCACTGACATTTCATATCTATCTATTTGTTTCTATGACGGGGACTATTTTTAATTTAATTTATCAATGTTATTTTTAATCTGAAACTTGCTCTATCTTAAAAAATAATCTTCAATATTATATATTTATTTATAACTAAGTTTTATAGAATAAATATGAAACATTCTTCAAAAATTTTGTTCATTAATTTTTTTTAAGTTCAAAATATTTCTAATATTATTCGATTAATTTATTTATTTACACCTCTTCACAAATTATTTCTAATTTTCCTCAATTTCATTGAGTTTATCATTTAAAAAAAAACTGAAATTTGTATTAGTAAATCATCTTTTTTTCAATTTTTAATAAAAAATTATAGAAATTTTATAATTTTACTTAAAAAACATATTTATAAAAATATTGATTTTTTAGTTTTTCACTCTCAGTTATAGTTTCGTTGTGTTTTCTCTAATTTATTAATCTTAAAATTAAAAAATATGTGAATTATCATTAATTTGTAAAAAAAAATACAGAGAAATTGATTTTTCTTATATTACTTCGAAAGTTTATAAATTACTTTTGTAAATTAAGTTTGATTGATTAGTAATTTTTTTCAAGATTTACCATTGCGTTTTTGGAATATTTTGAAGACTTTCCATATATTTCAATTATAGATTTTGTAATATTTTATAGATTTATAAAAAAGTATATATGAATGATCAGTTATAACGTGAAATTCTAGGAAAACTGTAGTGAATTTCTTAAAAAAAGGAAACGTGTATAATGCACATACTGAGTACATTCATTCAGTAGCTTTTTTGTGCTTCGATATATCACTATGCGTGTGTCATTTCTGGAAGATTAAGTGGCCGAAATGTATCCGTAACAAAGGACGTTGTGGACTGAGCAGCAGCAGCAAAAAAAAAAAGATAGAGAAGAGTCTCGAATGTGTTACAAATGGCATCAGTCGAGGAAGGAGAAGGAGACAAAAAAAAAGAAGTTTCGTGTCTTTTGTCGACGCTAGGCTAAAGTGACCAACACATGTTTTAGGCCGAAGAAGAAGAGGGCACCCAACAACACAAAAAAAAACGAACTGGAATATAAGGAAGCAACGAAAAAAAGCATCGAGAGAACTTATGTAATAAATTAATAGGGATTCCAGATGATTCTTTCCATCCAAGCAGTGTATTTTTTTTTTGCCGTTGCCGAAAAGAAGTCCGAAATTTTTGGAGGAAATGGGCGGAAACTTAATTATTTCTCAAGCATCGAAAAAAAATGTATATATATACGTTGATGAAAAAGAATATGCAGAACAGCTTAAAAACCGTATGGAGTGTAAAAGAGGAGCGAAATTCCACAAATCTGTTTTACATTATGTTATAGCTAAAGGTAACTATACTTCCCGTTGTTTTGGCTAGACAGTCCCAATTTTTTAATAATTTGTCTAGAAAAGTTTACAAAAAAGTACTATTTTTTGAAAGAGTACAGTTTACAGTACATAATATAAAAAAATATAAGAGTAAACCTACGAATTACGTAATTTAAGTAATTAATATGAAAAAAAATTCAACCTTGGAAAAATATTTTTTCTTTAAATTTTTAATTGAAGTTATTCTTGTCAAATGTTCACAGATGTTTATGTTAAAATCTTATGTTTTAAAACATTTTTTTTAAATTTTTTTTTGTTCATAATAGAATTTAGGTTTTTGAAGTATAATTTTCTAACATTCATTCACGTTTTTCTTAATTACTCGAAAACTAATAAATTTTAAACTTATATTGATTATGGATATTAAATAGTAAATATGTGGATAAACGAATTACGCAATTTAAGTAATTTATATGAAAAAAAATCAACCTTATCTTTTTTTATTGAGTTTATTTTTAAGTTTATTAAATTTATAGTTAATTAAATTTACAAAATTCATATAATTGTATTCTTCTTATTTGTTTCTTGATGTTTTTGTAGAATCTTATGTTTTTAAAACATGTTTTTTGTTCACGTTTTTGATAATTAATAATAAATTTCAAATATATATAGATTATGCATATTAAGAAAAAACTATAGAGAATAGAATGAGAAATCAGTGATTTTCGTAGTATTAGTGATTGTTTCATAATAATTTTAAAACCGGGAAAGACTTATGGTCAATAGCCCTTTGTATCAGTTATTTTTTTTTGAAATTATATATATATTTATTTTGATCTTTTTATTTCTGTATATGTTTGTTTTGTACGACTGATTTGTACGAATAAATATTATTATTATTATTAAGTTTAAAAAATTTGTAGAAAACTAGTAAATTGAGAAAAGATTTTTATTATAATAAAATACAAAAAAATTGAATGAGTTATAATTCGCTTTTTGTCCTAATCTTCTCATCAAAATTAAAATGTTGTCTTCTTAAAAAAATACAACAAATTGATTTCATTAAATTCTTTCTTATTTAAAATACGTATATTAAAAGTTTTGTTCTCTTGAAAATACTAATAAAGTATCTATTTTCTTATTAATTTTTTCTTAATATAAATGTACTAATTTCATATTTTTTATTGAAATTGAAATGTGTTTTACTTTAATTAATTTCAATTAAATTAGTTATATAATTAAGGAAATATAATTAAAACAAATATCATTAAGACAAGTTTAATTATATAACATTTTTTCAATTGATTGAAAATATTTATATATAAAAAAAAGGAGTTGCGTTCTCTTCAAGCTACTAAACAACGTATCTCTTTGGATCGTGCAGAGAAATAAATAAACTTCTCTTATCGTCTCTCCTTCATGTACATTTTTTTAAATATATATGTTTCACCTTGTTTTTATTCTTGTTCCCAAATTGTGTATTTGCGATCGTTAAGGTTCTTCAGTTCAGTGGTGGTGATTGAGACTATCAGAGACAGCGTGGATGGTACAGCTTTAAAATAAAATGTACGACATTTCTTATTGTAAAGATGTTTTACCGAATCTGTGTCTGTCATCTGCGAATTAAAGAGTGTTTCGCACCATCGGATCCTATGACCATCGGATCCAGTTATCTGGTAAGTCGTACAGACAATCGAACGCCCGCATCATATCAACATTTCGTACCACCAGATTCTGATGAACGATAGAAATCTCTAGATGGATAATTGACTTTTAATGAATTTAAAATTGTGCCATAGTATAGGTTTTTCACCATGTCAAAAAAGGTCTCACATTAATTGCAACAACTATATTTCATTTGTCCGTAAACGTCATACGGATTTGACCAATAACAATCACAATGATTCATTGAAAATACACAAGTAATTGATATAATCATGCATTATTATGAATATTAGTTAAATTGGAAATAATAGAGACATTAGTATAATTTTTGATTTAGATAGAAATTATTTATAACAATACAGTGGAACCTGTTAAACTCGTTAAATCAATTCCAAAATTTCCGGATTATTACTCGTATAGTGAAACTTGGTGGAGGACTCTTTATACTGTTAATATTTCTTTGACAAAGAAAAAGATGGTTAATATATTAAAAAAATACACATAATATGTGTACTCAATTTTGAAAAATGATGTAGAAGATGCGCAATTTCAGACTTCTCTTCTCATCGTCACTCGTTATGCGAAACAATTAATTTTGCTCGTTAAACGAGGTTTTGAAATATTATATATATTTTAATGTACATATTTAAAAAAAAATCTTTTTTTCATTAAATTCTAAAGTGTTTGTATATGCAAATACGTTTCAAAACAAGTAATTAATCGAAAACTAATAAAATTAGAAAATATATTGAACACGGACATTATTGAACCCAAAAAACTAGAGGGTATTGAATTTTACTTTTTATCCCAATTTTGTCCATTTTGTTTAATATTTAAGCATAAATGTACATAATTAATTAAAAACAATACGTAAAGATACAAAAATAAATTCATTAATTTTTCAAATTTTAATTGGATTATCAAAATTCTTTCTAATTTTTTAATTTGTGACATAAATCCAAAATGTTATCTTTATTAATTTATAAAATTTAATATAAGTAAATGTGATTTCTACCATTTTTACAACTATTATTTCCATTAATTTTTGAAAATTTTGATTTGATCATATTTTTTGTAATTTTTAATTTAATGAAAATAATATATGAAAATGTTTGATAATATTACTAATAAGTTTAGTTAAATTTTGGATATGGATAAAAAAAAAGAGTAAATTTTCTATTATTTTGCAAGTTTTTTTTTTATTACGCCTTTCCTTGAAATATAATTTACCTGCTCAATAAAATTCTTGGTATTTTAATAAAAAAATATATTTAAACACCATATAATGGCTATATTAAAGGGATTAAGTTAATTCCGGATTTTCGTGGAAAAATTAAAATATTTGCATATTTTATTATGAACATTTTATTTATACAATGTTACGTTAATCCCTTCATAAAAAATAAATGGAAAATAGCTTTAAATTCATAAAAATTCGTGCCCTTTTTTTATTTGTAATAAATGTCATAATAAATAGATCATAAACGGAGGTTGCAGTGAACAAAGAAATTGATATTATAGAAATGATATTATTTATGACATTAATTAAAGTTACACATAATACAATACTATATTATGTTCTTCATTTGGCATAACAATGACAGTGATTTATGCAATAATAATAATAAAAATCTTTATTAGTCATCAATTGTAACCAAAGGGCAATTTATGCTATTATGTTGTATCTTCCAGATTAATTACAGTCAATAAATAAATTTTATATCATAAGGTAAAAAAAAATTGCATTATTTTTTTTGTAAATTTCTTTGCTTGAGAATAATATTGAATCCATAACACAAACAAATAATATATTTTTTTTTAATTTTTAGCAAGATTTTATAAAAAATAAAATAATAACTTTTACAATTTATTTTCTCAATTTTGTAAAACAATGACAGATTTTTTTATAATTAATAGAAATAAATAGAAATTTTGATAAAAGTCATTACTCATCACATTAAATTTATGTGAAAAGTTTGAAAAATAAACTTTTTTGCTTGATTATACATCAAAAAAAATAATTAATAATCATTTAAAAAAACAATATGTTGTTTTTTTATTCATTTGGTAGTAACAATATATTCTATAATTATGAAGTGATCAATAAATAATAACTTATAATGAAAATATAAACTTTTTTATTATTTATATTTTTCTTAATTTTATTATAAATATGTAATTATAAAAGAATGAATTCATTTTTAATTTGGATTTTTTTTGTAAAATTTACTTGATCAATTTTTAACCATAGAAAAGTATTAAAAAAATAGTGATAGAAAGATGTATCATTTCTTTTTATATAAACATGCTTATTTACTAATGTAAATTTAACAACAACAACAAAAACGAGTTTATTAGAAATATGTTTTGCTTTAAATAAATTTATTCTTAATTAGGAATTAAACGAAAAAATATTTTCAAAAAAATTATTTCTTCAGTTTTGCTGAACAAGTTGATAAATTTAATGCTTTTTTTGGACATTGAGTAGACTGCATTATATGGAATCAGCGTTAATTGAGGTCTTATTGTACGTATATTTAATATACTTTATAGAATTACTTTGAACAAAATTGAAAGATTGAAATTAGTACTGTATATCAATTTTGACTGTAAGCAAGATGGAAAATGTTACAATTACAGAACGACATTCACTAAGATTTGTGTTGTAACGCATTTGATCATTGTGATTTAGTTTCCCATGGAGGATAGAATTCATACTCTCGCACTTATTGGATTACGTGAATAAAAAATTCAATATTTTGCACATAATAGTTTGATCTAGCAGTTCATAAATCGGAGGTAAAAGGGGCCCACGACATGCAAGTAATGTAGAAATAACAATTTCTTTATTGATACACGAAAAGTAAGATACATTTTTTCTACACATTTAAATTTGGCTGTGGTACACCAAAATCAAAATTTCATGGGTCCTTCAAATTTAAAGTTATCAATTTTGACTGTAAACAAGATTAAAAATGCTACAATTACAGAACGACATTCACTAAGATTTGTGATGTAACGCATTTGAGCATCGTGATTTAGTTTCCCATTGAGGATAGAATTCATACTCTCGCATTTATTGGATTACGTGAATCAAAAATGGAATATTTTGCACATAATAATTTGATCTAGAAATCGGAAATATAAAGGGCCCACGACATATAAATAATGTAAAAAAAAAACAATTTGTTTAATGATATACGAAAACTAAGAGAATTTTTTTCTGCAAATTTGGCTGTGATCTCAAGAAAATTTCAAAATCGTGTGGGTTCTTCAAATGCAAAATTTCCTACGTCCAATGAAGTTATACTTATATCAGTTTTGACTGTACGAAAGATGAAAAATGCTACAATTACAGAACGACATTCACTAAGATTTGTGATGTAACGCATTTGAGCATTGTGATTTAGTTTCCCATTGAGGATAGAATTCATACTCTCGCATTTATTGGATTACGTGAATCAAAAATGGAATATTTTGCACATTATAGTTTGATCTAGAAATCGGAGATATAAAGGGCCCACGACATCTAAATAATGTAACAAAAAACAATTTGTTTAATGATATACGAAAACTAAGAGAATTTTTTTTCTACAAATTTGGCTGTGATCTCAAGAAAATTTCAAAATCGTGTGGGTTCTTCAAATGCAAAATTTCCTACGTCCAATGAAGTTATACTTATATCAGTTTTGACTGTACGAAAGATGAAAAATGCTACAATTACAGAACGACATTCACTAAGATTTGTGTTGTAACGCATTTGAGCATTGTGATTTAGTTTCCCATGGAGGATAGAATTCATACTCTCGCACTTAACCCAATAAGTGAAACGTGAAACGAAAATGGAATATTTTGCAGTAGTCGGAAGTGGCGGAGAACGGAACGCAACAGAGAGAGAAGAAAAAAGAATCAGTCAGAATCGGAGAAAAGAAAACGTCTCTAATCAATACAGTTGCGGGCGAGCGAGAGTAAATAAAATCGAACAAAAACCACCCCATCATTCTGCAGTGGTAATCTGAAATAATGACCGCCGGTTCTGCCCCCGTTTTTGCACAATGGGAGAGACGGGGAATATTTCGGACGACGGTCAGCAACACGATGTGTCCGTCCACTCCACATCCTCCACCTTCCCACCAACAGGAAACCAAACAATATCCAACACATAAATGCTTATGACACAATATGAACTATATCAATAATTGACAATTTCCGACTAAATATTTCTCTTTCTCTCTTCTCTTTTTTCTTTCTTTCTATATTTATGCTTCATTTTATCTGTATACACGAGATGCGTGTTTTCTTCAGTGGAAACAAGCGATTTGTTACCGCTCTAAAATTGTATCCGCATTGGGCACATGTGGTTGAAATAATACATCTGTCAGGTCTCAATCATATTGACAGGTTTTTCGGAGCTCGAAATAACGGGCGAAAGGGCGACACACGCGTATTTTCGTTTGTAATTAAACTAATGATTCACACTCAAAAAAATCATCAACACACGCAGAAACGCATTATTTTTAAGGGATGAACGTGTTTGCTTTCTCCCCATTACGTGTTTGCTTTCCTTCGCTAATCACTTACATCCATCAATATTACACTTTTTCGCACCAATTCTACTCTAAGCACACTTCACACTGTAATCTCAATCAACAACTGAAAAAAGTCTAAATTAATTTGTTTTTACTGTTAAATATATTAATAGCAAACATTACTTTAGATTAGATTTTTTTATATTAGTTTAAATTGCAAAAATATGAATTATTTGTAAAAATTGATAAATATTTCATAGATTTTAAAAATTTGAACATAATAGAGGTCTAGAAATCGAAATTACAAGGGTCCCACGACATTTAAAGAATATAAAAAAAGCAATTTGTTTTTTTAGTTTTTGATACACGAAAACTAAGAGAAAACTTTTCAACAAATTCTAATTTGGTTGTGGCCTCCCAAAATCAAAATTTCCTGGGGCCCTCAAAACCGTGTGGGTCCTTCAAATTCACTTGCATCCAAT